TATATATTGTATATATATACACATACACACCATGTCTAATTATGTTCATAACATGCATTTGTATGATAGCTTTGTGATGATTTTGCTAATTAAGATTTTTTTTTCTTATTTAATGAGCGGTAGTTTTTTTTTCTACAGGTAGGAGGTCATTGTAACTAATAAAGTATATTTAAATGCAGCTAAATAATAACTCTTTTGTATCTTCAGGTTCTGACTGAACGAATTTCAAACATTTGTGTGGACAATTCAACCAGCAAGGTATGTTATCCTTTTTTTTTCCTTCTTAGTCACTCATGCTTTGTTATATGCAGTGTACTATATATATAGCACAAAAGAGAATGTTTACTATCATCAGTGTTTAAGTCATCGGCTCAGTAGACAGCAGCATGTTACACAACACCTCTGTCTGTCTGTCTTCCTTTTCTCCACGTAATGCTTTGTAGGCAAGGCTGGACAAATTTTGGTTGCCACTTTAGCATGGCGACTGGAAATTTTCCCCTACCAGTCGGTCAGTCCCCACTCAAAGCTATTTCTCAGACAGGTGAGCATTGTGCACTGCTGGGGTAACGGAACCTTGATACTAGTTCACTCTTTGACTTGGGACTTATAGTCGGCTTCCCCTCGCATTAGATAGAAGCAGCCAGGTCCTGCTTTCCAACAGTGCAATGGTTGCTTGTCAGCGAAGTGGATCTAAGTGAGAGAATTTTCCTAACCATGTAACCAAGCACAATATCATAAAGATTCCTATTAGGCCCAGTGATGGTGGGGGAAAAGGGAGGGGTGTATGTTTAGTTTCTGTGGTATGGCACCTTATACAATATATACGGCTGCTGTGGGAGGATTACTGTATAAATGGCTTTTGTGGTAGGAAGTTGATAACTGTATACAGTATATTGGGCTCATGTTGGATTTCTGTGACATCATTGTCCATTAAAAGGACTCATTCATTTTAACTTATGGAGTGCTGGTGACCTATTTTCTTCAATCTTGTGTTTTGCACGGTGCCATCCGTGAAGTTACTTCGAGCACCATTTATTTGATTGTTGGCCGGGACTGCTGAAAGGTGTGCGGAGGGCACCTCCATCAATTGTATACAGTATATGTCGCTGTAGCGGGAGGATGGAAAACTGGGTACATGACTGCTCAGTAAAAAAACCCCAAAGAACTGTACATAGGTCTGTTGTAGGGATGAAAACTAACTTATTGACACTGTGGGTGGTGAAAACTGCATGCGTCAAATCAAAGCCACATTGTTGATGACCCTACTTTTTGTAGATTGCTGTTAGATTTTAGGAAGGCTCACCCAGGCCTGTAGAGTCTGTTCTGAGGAAAATGAATAGCAGAGGGAGACAACATATTTATGCTATGTTAGATACTGTGGAAAAAGCCCTGTTGAAATAAATATTATTAGACAGCCAGATACCTCATCTGGTGTCTGAATGCAGATAATAATGATTGTTTCTGTTGTAGTATCCATGTTGTAGTTTTGCTCACATTGGACTGCCAAGTTGGGTTGGGATGTCTGAGCTATGGGTGTTTTGGTACACTAAGTACCTTTTGTGATTACCCCATTAATGCAAACTCCAGAGAACACAATTCTTTCATAACCCTAAATGCATGAATTATTGAATCCTGTATGGCCCAAACACTTTTAATAATTATATACAGTGCAAAACAAGAGAGTTCACTAGCTTCCTAGTTACATTTAAAAATGACAAAGTTGCATAATAAATCACAGCATTCATGATAAGTCGTGTCAGTCATATTGAAACCAAAAAAACGTTGGTTAGCTCTATTTTTGTAACATTTTGTGCACTTTTTTCTGCTTTTTTTCTGTCCACATTTTGTCAATCTCTGCGATATTTATGTGAGGAATCTGTAAAATTCATTGTGGAATGTATCTCCATAAGTCACGAGCCATCGCTGACATACCACTTTCTGCATGTTCCTTGTACACTTCCTCCTGGGGAGATGCTGGAGGGGACAAAAGGAATGCTGGCCTTGATTGTCATGCTTTTAGGTTGTATACTCCTCAAATCTCCAAGAAAAGGTCTTTGTTGTGAACTTTAAGTACAATTGTATCTGTCATATGTTATGTATTACTATTTGTTTTTTGTCTTTCAGTCCTATGGTGAGAGCGTGGCTTGTGCTGGCAGAGCATTGAGGAATGCTGTAAGAAACTTGTCTCCAGGACTTATTCGTGATCGAATGTATCTTACCTGTATTTGTCGGTAAGAAGCTACTACATCATAGTTTATTTAATAAATTCTCCAGTATAACACTGGACTATGGCCTCCAACCTGACCTACACCCCGTGACAAAGCTTTATCTACATAAAATGACAGTACTCAACAATTCTCTTTTACATTCCCTTTGGCTTCTCAAGCACAAATTGAAAAAAAGCCAGAATTTTGATACTCACACCACCTTATTCTTGCCACTAATCGTGAATGAGGATTTTGGTCAGGAATGCAGATGGCAAACTTTCAAAGAATGGTATGCAAAAGACATTGAGGGGAATTTTTCAAAACTGGAGCAGACAAAATCTTCAACAGTTGCCCAGGCAACCAATCAGCTTCTCTCTTCAGTTTCTTCAGTTAAGATTTGAAAATGAAAGAGAGGAGCTGATTGGTTGCCCGGCACTGCTGTTCCAGATTTTGCCTGCTCCAGTTTTCATAAATTCCCCTCATTGTGTCCATAAGACAAACCTATAAACCCAGATACATGCAAAATATTGTTCTACTCGGAAACAACAAAACATGTCCAATCATTTTGAATAAAATCTATGCTTTCATCCAAGGCAAATCCTATATTGTTAAATGGATGTCAAATCTTGTAGTAAGAGATTGACAATACACAAGACACAATGCCCCTCAGTCCCAGAGTGCCAACAAAAGCAACCTCTAAATATTACCTTTTTCTAAGATATTCTATTGACTGCACCACCTGAATATCTGGCATGTCTAAATGGCTGCAACAATTATACTTCTAAAATGATACCAATACTCCTGGAAAATTGGAATACAGGGTATTTGTTTTTCCACCTTTACCATAAGGAATTCCTATTCCCACTGAAATCTTATCAAAAGGGACTTTCTAAGTCCCCCAACTGTGCCAAATGTGGTTGAGTCTCAGCAGAACTTTACCACAACCTAAGGGATTGATAAGAATGCAAATTGCACTATAAGCCTAAACAGATCTCAAAATCAGAACAAATCTGATCTGATTTCCAACTAGGTGCAGTAAGTGTGTGTGTGCGCGCGTGTATGTATGTATGTATATATATATATATGTATGTGTGTGTGTGTGTGTGTGTATAT